CTTGTCTATTTGTTCTACTTTTGGAATTTTCATCTTCATCTAATGACTATTAATTATTTTTTTTGTATTTTGGTTATGTATGGTGGTATATTACTGATTATCTTTTCAAACTAATGTTGTTTTTTAACAGGTTTTAAACTAAACATTAAGGAATACATTATGTTTAGTAGAAATCATGTTATTATTCCTTATAATAAAATGTATCAGACATGTTTTGTATTTTTTTTCTTCTCTGTATTTTTAACTAGTTTGGTATGTTACATGTTTATGTTTATTCATTATGTAAATAGTTTGGTATCAGAAATGTTATGTTTGTTATTTGACTAATTACAAACCTAAAATAAACTCAGCTTTTGATAACTATGGTAATTTCTTGCAACTGTTTTATTTTCAGCACCTTTCCTTGATTACACAGAATTGTTGCATCGATTAAGAAATTAATGAGATATTTATTGCTATACAAATTTAACAATAAAAATTTCATTTTTTGGGAATTCATAAATTCTTGGTTTACACGTGTGTGAAAAGTTTTTTCCTTCGTTTTTGCGGAATTGACACCTAAAGGACTCGTCTATGTGTCCTTTAGCCATACAAATTTGCATTTAAAAAACAATAGGTTTATTCGAGTCTCCATGGAATAGGAGTGTTCTAGTCTCTCGATCTAGAGTCTTGGGTTCCATTTATTGGATCGGGTTGTGTTTTGTATTTTGGCGTCTTCACTCGGTCTGTGTTTTCTGTGTTTATCTCTTAATTCTAGGTCACTAGTTCTTGGGTCCCCTGGTTTAGACTAAGGAATTGGAGTATGGAATAATATGAAGATCTTGATATGGGTAATAAACTTGGAAAAATTGAGTTGTTTGTTGCTGAAAAGGGAGGAGATTAGATACTCTTGACACAATAGATATCAGTGATAGTGTAGAGGAACGTGAAAGAAGATTATTCAGGAAAATCTACGGGGCAAAAAGGGCTAATTTCGCTAGACTCAAAAGGAGTCTTCAGCCTTGAGCATCAAAGAGTTAGGTTTCAACACTTTCCAATTTGTTTTCGGTTCCATACAGGATAAAAGTCTAGTGTTGAGAGGGAATTCCTGGGCTTTCGACAACCAGTACCTTATTTTGGAAGAATGGGAAGCAGATATGCTGGAAAAAGGATGTCGAAATTAATATGTGGATTCACGTGTGGCATATCCCATGCTACTGCTTAACAATAAACTCGGGTTTTAAAATCGGCAAAATCAGTAAAAAATGTGATAATCCCAGAGAGTGGTGGCGTTAATGGCAGAATCATCAAAATCTTGGTTTCGGTGGACCTCGATAAACCATTATCGAGAGGAACCACTATATCTTTGGGGGATCGAATAAACATCAAATACGAGCAACTTTTAGGTTTCTACTAATACTACGATTTAGTTGGTCACTTTGATAAAGGCTCTGATAAAGGGAGAATGTCAGAAATGGGAAGGTGAAGGAAGGTCAATATGGTAATATATTTCAATAGAAATTCCAACGGATATTCGAATGTTATGACTTCCGTTGGAATGATTCTAATAGAAATACCAACAAAATTCCGTTGGAATCACCGGGATTGTAAAGAATTCAACAGAAATTCCAATGGAAAACTCATTCCAATGGAATATTTTTGTTGAAAATTCAGTTGGAATCCATTAGAAAATTCCAACAAAAATAACAGCATTGAAATATCCATTGGAATTGCTGTTCGAATTATATTAGAATATATTTTCGTTGAAATTTTATCATTTTCTTGTAGTGGTTATGGTTACACGACGGTGTTAAAGTCTAGTTAAGTTCCTTAAAATATGTATAATATACACTAGTGAAAAAAAAACACTTTTTATATTGGTTAAAGATCATGTTCACATCGCACGAAAAAAAAATTGGTATGTTCCACGGAAAATCCTATGGAAATATATTCCATTGAAAATTACAACGGGTATTTCAATAGTATAAATTCCAACGGATATTTCAATAGCTGTCTCATTCAGCTGGGGACTGTTTTCTTATTTGTACTTTTGTGAGTTTTTATATAATTTATATTGTTTTGAAAAAAAAAATAATTTTATATAATAAATATTAGTCATAATCAGCCAAACTTGCCAATATTGCATTATTGAGATCAATATAATGATCAATATGTAAGTTAATATAGTTCATTTTTACTAATGATAAAATCTATAAAGTATGATATGTTCATTATTATCTAGCTTAAATTTTATATAAACATACATATAAAATATAAAACTTTATTTGCATATATGCATATAAACACTACTTATGTAAACGGAAGTCATTCATTGCCATTGATACTCATCAATGCTCCAGTACAGTTACACATGCCGAAGGAAAAAGAAAAAATATATATCATCTCATCTCGATATGTTTAGGAGAAGGAAAATTAAGCAATTAATTATTTCGGTAAACAACTAATTAATATATGTGGATATTATTTTACGCAATGTAGTTATGAAAAATGATTTAAAAAAAAACATGTGGAACTGTCTAAAATGTGAGACTGCTAAGCTAACAACAGACTTTTAATTTGTGTACATGAACTTTAATTCTTTTCTCCAAGCTCTAGACCATCTAAGGCTGAGACATTGGAGTTTTCTCCTCATTTGTTGTTAGTGATGAGCTTTTCCTATTTTGCCAATCGAACCTTTTCTCAAAGCCATTAGTTCCATCACCAAAATAGATACCATCAGTTGTCGCTTCCCACAAGCATTTACCCGATCCACACTGACCTCTGTGTTTAGACGTAAATACATCCCAAGCAATTTCTTTATTTTGCCACCAAAGATGGCAAAAGAACAAAGTTCTTCCAGTATAACCGTCACAAAAGCTCCAATTGAAGTCGTAATTAGGAACTACGTGATGAAATCCAAGATCGTCGTTACCCGACGCGCAATGCAGCTCTAGTTTTGGATAAGGGAGCCTATTGATCACATGAACCTCAAATCTTTCAGTAATTTGACATGGGTCCTTGTTGAAACCCTTGATTTTGAAAATGTTGCCAAGGAAAATGAACAAAAGTATGAGACTTTTCATTCTTGAGTGAAATGAAAAGCTAAGAAAAGGTTTTGTGATGTTTTGGTCGGGTTGTTGTGACTTGTACATGTTGTTTGGAGATATTGTTATATATATGTAAAGGCAATATTGAATTGTAAGTTACGACATTTAATTTGGGAGGTAATGTTTAATGTGGTGGTTAATGTACATTAAGTTACTATAAATTAGTTCAACGTAAGGTGAATTGACAATAATCTCGTATTTCCTACAAATCTTCAATGGAATATCACATGCTATCTTCTAAATTACATCGATTGCATGTACGGAGATTTTTTTTTTTTTTTTTTTTTTTTGTTATATATATATTATGTTTGCTAAAACTAACTGATAGTTTATAGCTTATACATAATTTTCGAGCTTATAGTTTATAGCTTATGACTTATAGCTGAAAAATTAGCTTATATTATAAAAGTGTTTGGTAAAATTAGCTGATAAGCTAGCTGAAATAAAAATTTTAACGAACTTATTTGAAAAGCTACTCGAAAAAACTTATGAGATAAACTCGAACTTTTTTAAAAAGCTCGTCCTACTAAACGAAACTTATAAACTAACCAAATAAGCTATAAGCTAGCTTATTTGTCTACCAAACATAGACATAGTAGCTTAGTTTTACATTTAGTCCATATACTAGTACAATGACTGCATACTGTACGAATGTTGATAAAATAAAACAAAAAATTGTGAACAAGAATATCTAAAAAAGAAATAAAATTATATTCTTATTGTGAAATTAAAAACTAAAAAATAATTAATATAAAATTAAAAATATTTGTAATATTATTTCAAATTCTAGTGAACATTTTGGATGAAATATTATCTGTTTCATTTATATATTTATTTTTTTTAAAATTAATTAAAATAATTAATTTATTCAACAATTAATATATTGCTCATATACATTTATTACGAAGCATGAAAAAAAAATATGTATATCAATTGAGACAAGTTAAAAAGTGTTGTTGCAAAATTTGGTAACCAGTGTGTCTAAACAAACAAGATTAGTTTGTTTATTATGTTTCCGACCGAACCGGCACTTTTCTCTTGGATTTTTATTCAATCTTCCCAAAGATCCTTTAGTTGTGGCCCTTGAGCCTATATATTTATACATGTGGTACATTCAGACATTGTTTGTGTGTGAAGTACAAGTAGGTATAGTACAAGATATTATTCTACTTTAGAAATGTACCGCACCATTTAATATCTAATGATTACGGTCTGAATCTCAACCTTGATCAACACAGGGGGTAATAACACGTGTATCCGACATGCTAGCGGTTGGCGGTCACATCTGTCATTAATGCGCATACAGATAGCCGAGCCGAGTTACTGTATAACAACACCCGTTTATCATCGTGTTCGGCAGATCCCGCTTCAGTTCGTCAAAAAATCATTCCAATCCCTTTTAATCTTTTTTTTTTCTTTTGAAAAATCAAATATATTATAACTTAAAAGTCAATAAAATACAATCGAGGTGTCAATTGACAAAAACAAATATATTACACCAGGGGAACCAAAACAAATTAGTCTAGACCCACCCCCTTGAATCGACACAGAAGTTCTAGGGGGTAGAAACTTCATCAAAGAGGCCAAAAGAACCCACAAAACGAACTCAAAAAAGGTGACACAAACTCCATGACGGAGACAAAACACCAGATGAAGCTGGACGAAAACACAAAAACACAAAATGCACACCTAATAAATACAAAAAATAAAATCTCCTCTAATCCTAGCAACCGAGCCAAATGACCACCTAAACAACCCCCGAGACCCTACACTGCAGCTAAAGGCACAACAAAGCAACAAATCTTAAACTCGATATCAAGACCCGAGGAAGGGCCACCCAAGGCTGCAACCAGTCGAGCACCGGTGACCCGACCACACGGCGGACAGACGGGCCGCGGCCTCCTTGAAACAAATCTAAAACATACCCGGCAATCAACACCCTTCCATCAGGCGGAACAGAGACAGTGCGCGAGCCGGACTCCTGTATAGCGGCAGACCCCTGCGGCTGGAGCTGGATAGCCACGACGGCGCCCATACCACGGTTGTGGAAACGGAACGGCGAGACCCGCCGCCGACGGGTCTCCCGTCGAGCTTCGAGGGGCGAAAAAGTGGATCCAGGCGAGCCTCGGTTTGGCAGGCTGGACGGCCGCAGCAACTCACCGGAGAAGAGGGGGTGGCAGCAGATGGACAGTAGTATTTGGTTTTTTAAATAGAGAGAGAAAGGGTTAGAGAGAGGCGAATTTACTTTTTACAAGTCCCAATTCCTTTTAATCACCTTCAATATATGCTTACGTGCCGTGTTCCCATTGGAGGAGAAGTTAGGATATCAACAAAAAGTTTAGATTCTTATAATAAAATGCTGAAATAATTAAATATACAAATAATTAATTAAAAAATTAACAAAGTTAATTATTTGAAATGATACCGTGTCTTATACTCATATTTGTCAGTGGTAATTTTTTTTTTTAAGTAAAGCATTTTACTAGTCTATTAATAACGAGCAAGATCGTGTGACTTGTATCAAAAGACCAGGTCATGAAACGGCACTATAGCCTCTCCACCACACGTTACACACTAGTAAATACGAAAATATCGTTAAGATGAATTACTAAGAAGCATAGGGGAAGAAAAAACTGCGACAATGTAAAAATCAAAACCCAATTTCCACTAAAAAAAATAAATAAATAAAAGATCCACATACGAAAAATTCTCTCCCTTTCTTTCCTTCCCAGACACAAATCTCCCATTAATTAATTAATTAATTCCCCATCAATCTTCTCTCTTCAAATCAAATCCCACTTTCTCTCTCCACCGCCATGTCCGACGACGACGACACCTTCCACTCCGGCGACCCCCACCTCCGCCTCGCCGTCCTCCGCCACCTCCCCACCCTCGCCGCCGCCTACCTCTCCCGCGCCGCCCTCCACAAACCCCTCGCCGGCTTTGAATCCGTCCTCCTCGCCATCTACGCCCACGAGACCTCCGCCCGCTCCGGCCACGCCCTCACCGCCACCATCCCCGACCTCTCCCACCCCAGCCTCTACCACGAACCCTCTCCTCCCACCGCCAACCGAGCCTCCACCGACCTCCACCTGGCCATCGTCTCCCCAAGCCTCGAGCCACACGGCACCGTCCGCTCCACTCGCCGTGCCCGCATAGTGGGGGTGGCGCTCGAGCTCTACTACGCCAACATATCCGAAATCCCGGTCCAGTCGAAAATCGAGTTTTGCGGGATCTGCGAGGCTTGGGCCGGGCTTCAGGATGATGACGACAATGATGGTGATGATGATGATGTCAGCAGGAATAAGGGGAGGATAAACCTGCCGTGGGAGCTGATGCAGCCGATCCTGAGAATATTGGGACATTGTGTGATGGGGCCGGAAAAGAGTGATGAGCTGTTTCGGGCCGGGCTGGCTGCATGCAGGTGCGTGCATGGGAGAGCGATGAGGGATATTAATCCTAAGGCGGTACTGGCGAGCATGAGCCTCGTCAAGCTGGCTCAGGCCTCTGTCGAGGACGTTGTGGATTATACGGAGATTGGGACGAGTAATGTCATCTCTTTTTGAGCTCATTTTGATGCGGCATTAACAAGTTGTTTATGTGTTCAAGTGTTTTTTTGTTGGGTGAGTGAATAATGATCAGAAAATTGGAGTAATAATATATATATATAGGGGTTGATTCAAATAAACACTAGTCCTGGTGTGAGAACCGTGAGAATTATATTTGATGCTATTTTTAATTGTGTATGATGTTATTTTTAATCTCACACGGTGCTATCATTTTTACAAATGCTAACATAAATTGTGTTGCTATTTTTAATAAAATACATCCTGATTAAAAATAGCACTAAAATACAATCAATGATAGCACTACATACAATTAAAAATAGTAGTTCTCACGGTTCTCATGCTAGGACTTAGTTCTCATTTGAACCAACTCCTATATATATATATATACCTCGAATTGACCGGTTGGTATATAATTATACTACTAATTATGATCGATAGGTATAGTTGGTATAGAGAAGAGTTTCGATTGACTCAATTTTTATTTCAATTGTATTAAATGTTGGAATAATGAGAAAGTACGTAAGAGGCCAGTTCATAATGTTAACTAGTGTGTTTGACCCGTGAGGTGCATGGATGGATGGATGATAATGCGTGTAGTGATTTATTTTCCGGTCCATTCTAATACCCGTAAGAGGAGGTTAGGATTTGTGGTAGGTCGTGATGAGGGCTTTATTGCATTTCATAGGTGTGAGTGGTTGATTTATTTTATTTTTTTTTTAGTGTTTGTCTTTTGGTTGTTGTCTTTGTTATATTTCAGCTAGGGCTGCCATGAGCCAAACGGCTCGCGAGCTCGAGTTTGACCGAACTCGAGTCGAGCTCGAGCCATTATTTACATTGTCTAGCGGCTCGAGATATATGATAAAGTACAAAAATACCCCTTGTATATATATGTATCATGATATTAATATATGTAATTAATGGTTATTTGACAAATTTGCTTGAAAATTTTCGAACTGAGCTCGAGCATGTCAAATTCAAGTTGAGCTCGAGCCGAACTCGAGCTATTGTATCTTTTTATGGAGTCGAGCTCGAGCAGCTAAAAGAAAAAATTCAATCGTGCTCGATAAGACCAATACTCGACTCGGCTCGGCTCGTTTGCAGCCCTAAGTCCAGTTGCGTCTGACTCTAGTCTTTGTTATGGAGTTTGTTGCCTCCGTTGTGTAATTCTAAGGGGGGTGAATCCAGCCTTTGTGCTAGTACTTGTGGACTGTAGTGTCCGTTGACACCTCAGGTGTACTCGTTTTTTAGTTTTTCAGTTATTAATATATTTATCGAAAAAAAAAAGATGGTAATTAAAGGTAGTGCAAAACGACCTTGATTCGGTCCAACGTATAAATTGTGGTAATTGATGGTAGTGCAAAACAACTTTGACCTGGTCCAACGTCCCTCGATATTTCCTTGAACCAGTGAAATAACTTGCAAAACAACGCCAAGAATTGTCTCGGCATAGTATCCGACACTAAAGTCATTATGAATTGTATGTATACGAGTATAAATTATTCAAATTATTTAGAGGGATGATGATCATATCTCACTTTTTTATAGAGGTGTTACCTTGTTGATCAAGATCTGCCCGACCTTGGTGCCCGAGTGCCCGAACTACCCGAGTATACTATCCGAGTGAAAGGACTGCCCTATTTTGTTACACGCCTGTAAAAAGTTGAATTTGACATTAATCAAAAATAATATTTATTTACGTTATTTGTATTTCTTGAAATAGATAACATGGAATTAATGATTCAAGTGAAGAGGAAGATCTATATCTTAACTTTTCATATCTTAGTTATTCTATTATTATGTATTTAGAATTAATTATCTTCCTTTATCTTGTAGAAAAAGAAAATATATTAGATTTATTAGGAGATTTCGTATATCTTCTCTCCTTAGTTTTGATATTCTCTTGCTATATTTTATGGTATGTATTTAATTGTCTTCCTTTACTTGTAGGAAAAAGAAGAGCAATGATAATAAAAGGAAGAAACTCATGTGAGATTTGTGAGCTGAAAAACGTGATGATGAGAGTTGGAAAAATCGAGCAAGAAATGAAATAAATTGAGCAAAAAAATATTTCATAACTTTAGCAAGGAAACAAGTAAAGAAAGTTCCACTGATTGAAGAGAGAGATACATGATTAAATCTCAATGATTTGGGCAAGAAATCGTGCATGGTGACTTACAAGGCATGGGGACTCAGTTTTAAAAGTTGAACGAGAGATCGAGAATATTTGGAAACTCTGATTTTTTATGAACCGGCATACATTCTATAGTTTTGTATATAGTTTAGTTTCACGAGTTCTGGTGATTGAGCGAGCTTTTTATTATTCTTTCAGAGAGTTTAAAGTTTTTATTTGAGCGAGCTATTCCATTATTAATCTTTCATAGAGTTTAAAGTCTTATCGGTGAGAACACGTGATCCTTTTATTTAGATTTTATAGAGTGATCGGATTTCAACATGTTGGTGCATCGCTGATGTTCGAGTTGTTTGTTTGTTTTACTACATGATGCTTGGAACAATTGCATCGCTGTTTGTTTGTTTTACTGCTTAGAGAGATCCATACATGGAGCTAGGGGCGGATTTACAGCATAGATGACCTGGGCTGTAGCCCAGGTAGATATATATGTAGCCCATATATTGTTTATATCATGTTTTATGTTTTTTCATCTTTAGCCCAGGTGACAAGTTCAACAAACATAAAATGAGCCCACTCAGAGCCCAATAGTAAATAAAATATACATAAAAAGTATCTAAAGTTACAAAAACCACTCATTGATATTCTACTGCTTGAATATACAGTTACCGATAAACCTCCGTTGTCAATCGTCTTCGACGGAAAAAAATCTATCTCAATTTATTAATCACTATAAGAGGGCCCCTCCGCCATTTAAAAGGTGAGTAATTTTTTTATCATTTTAAAATGGCTTAACATATTGGATAGAGTCCCTGTGCTATTCCTTCTGCCAAGAGCGAGTTGAATTAAGTGATAAAGCAAAGAAAAAGCAATTGAAAGCAGGAATATTACCTCTAGTCTTTCTAAATTGGCAATTAGATTTAGTAAATTAGTTATTGTTTTAGTTCTTTGTTGATAAAATATTGGAACTGGAAATTAGGTTCAATGAATTACTTATTGTTTCTGTTCTTTGTTGATAAAATATTTGAATTGGAAATTAGGTTCAGTAAAGAACACACCATTTTCTTTTTATATTTCTGCCCAAGGAGATTTAATTTTTAGTTTTTATTATATTCAACAAATTAATTTAGTTTTTAGAATTTGTCGGTTGGAAATCTGATATTCACAACAAGTTAGGGCAGT